AATCTCATTTCCATTATCATCAAAAGTTATATACCCACTAAATCATTAGACTTTTTTAATTACCATAATAGGTTCTAATATATTAAATTTAAAATATTCCAAATCCCTATTTTTTGACCTTCTAAATTATATTCACCATTATAAATAATTTAATTATCATCACTAAACAATATATCCAATTCATCCCATTTTCCTATCTTGTAGTTTCCTTCCTTATCATATGATCCACCACCACTATACAATTGTTTTAAGTAATAGTTACATTTTTTTATATTCATTCTCATCGTATTTACCATAAATGATATCCCATCTACCTGTCTTCCTACCAGTCATATTATATTCACCATTATGGATGACTTATTTATTATGTTAAAACCCTTCAACCAACTCTATCCATTTTCCAATCTTTTTCTAATTTCCTTCTAAATCATATTCTCCGCCACCTCTATATATTAATATTCCTCTTAAACATATAATATTTACAGATATTTTCCTCCAGCAAAACGAATATCCCATCTTCCTATTTTCATACCATTCATATTATATTCACCATTATAAGTGACATATTTTGACTCAAATTCGCCACAATAAAACCATTGATACAATTCTACCCACTTTCCAATTTTATTCTAATTCCCATCTTAATCATATGATCCACCTCCACTAAATCACATATTTCCCTTATCTTAAGATAATTTTTACAATAATTTATATTCTCCTTCATAACTTTTACACTACATAATATCCCATCTACCTGTCTTCCTTCCATTCATATTATATTCACCATTATGGATGACTTATTTATAATATTAAAACCCTTCATCCAATTCTACCCATTTTCCAATCTTTTTCTAATTTCCTTCTTAATCATATGATCCACCACCAAAATACACATTTCTTTTTCCCTTATACTTATAGATTATTTATATTTTTTTATATTCCTATTCATCGTATTTACAATACTTAATATCCCATCGACCTACCTTTATACCATTTATATTATATTCCCCATTATGAGTTACTTATTTACAAAAATAAAACCCTTCATCCAATTCTACCCATTTTCCTATTTTTTTCTCATTTCCTTCTTTATCATATGATCCACCTCCACTATATTTTTTTATATTCGCTTATAATTATATAATATTTACAATTATTTATATTTCTTCTCATCATGTTTACAATACATAATATCCCATCTTCCTACCTTCTTACCGTTAAAATCATATTCACCAATATGAGTGACCTTTTTATCTCTATAATAACCTTCGTCAAGGTCAATCCATTTACCTTATTTTTATCCTTCTTTATTGTATAAACCGCCACCACTAAAAAAATTTAAAATATATACATTCTCACGCCCTAACTAATTTAATTCCATTTTCCAATTCTTAAGTTTTTATTATATTCTCCAGTTTCAATTATTTGCGCTTAGCTATTAATAATATTGAATCTTAGTATCTTACTTCCAATAGTTTAAGAATATGTCTTTCCATAACCCTTACTTTTACCCAGCTTTATATTATCCGCCAGTATTTTTTAGAAGTTCTTTATTCCAAGAAATAATCCATTTACCTTCTTTCTTTTTGTTTTTAGAATACTAACCTTACCATTCAAGATCGCAAATTTGATCCATATTATTGAACATTTTTGGATTATCAACGAAATCATGGCCTTATACCCTTTGTTATAAATTAGATATAAAATTTACACTCTCAGTATTGCTCCATTTTATGAATAAAATATTTGTTAATCTGACATGAACTTAATTTGAATTTTTATTTTCTCAATGAAGTTTATGCTTTTGTTATAACTGCTAACTTCTTTATCAATGATATATTCCTTCGAATTAGTTAACTATCGGTTACTCAAACAATTTTCATTTGAATGATTCATTTTATATTAATTTATATTTCTAATACTTTACAAATGTTAAATTTGAAATGTTAAAATTCCATATTCAATCATAATTAATCGGAATTTTAAATGAAACTTTAATCTAATTTTCCAGATTTCACAATGTGTTAAATAATAATGATTAGACACAAAAATCAACAATGGCAAACAATTTTAGAGGGGTTAAAACAACTTAGTATCTTCGATCCCTAACGATATTTAGATATTTAGATTGATAAACTTCTTTAATTTTTTATTGATCTTTTATTTAAGGAAATTATATTAATTTATTCTTACAATAAAAACACAAATGATCATCTTAAAACAAATGTTGAGGATTATAAATTTAGTATCACCCAAATTTAAACAACTAAAACATATATAAAAAGAGGATCTCGAGCTCAAAGCAACTTTAAACTGAAGAATTAATTTAAGTAGCAGAAACTTTACATTAAAAAAATATCTCAGAGATCAATTGGTTTTGCAAAAAGTAATTATTGAGCATCTTACAAGCAAATGAAACTCCTATCTGATTATTACTAAGCTTTATTTTTAATTGAATTATCATAACCTCTATAATTCTATATTATAATTATATAATAAATAAACTATTAAATGACTTGCATTTAAATTATTTATATATTAATTTTATTTTATTATATTTCAATATTTAATTTGTTTAAAATATATATAAATATTAAACTTTACTAATTAAAGATCAAAGTTAATCAACCTTTCTTTTTGTGATTTTGATAGATAATATGATAATGAAGTTCTAAATTTTTGATCACAAGTATAAATCTTAGAAGAAAATTGTAATTTTAAATTGAAAGTAAAATACTATTGTTAGAAATCAAAAGGCTTAACAACTCAAATCTAAAAGTTGCAAGAATATGAATATATAGAAATAATATATTAGTAATTATTTTAAATATAAGATTGTGTAATTTTCAGAATAAGATGAATAATGGCAAATGAAATATGAAGCAATGATGATAAATTTAAAGAGCAAATTAGCATATTGAAATGATAGCCATATTGAGGATCCCTTTTATTCACTCATACTAAATAAGAATAATGAGAAGCTGAAACTGTTTAATAATAATTTGAGAATCTAAAGTTCTTAAATGTATGAATTACTTAACTAATATTAGAAGAATCATTTTATAAAATATATATTTAGAGTTTAAAATTTGTTAT